TATCAAGATGGGTTTCATCTTCAGAGTGGGATGTATTTTTACAGGGTAACATGCTGACATATTTCCCATGGTAAGTAAATATGAAACAGAAGGGTTATTTACATCTTTGTCCATCTTAAGACAATAAGGCCTTTGGTCAGTAGGTTCATAAGGACAACAGGATCAGTGTCTGCAGCAGTGAAATGTGGTGCTGGAAGGACCAGCCCATGCATCCATGTCTGAACATAGAGACCATATCCTGGTAATTATGGTTGGTAAGCCATTGTTCATTTAACTGTCAAAATTTCAGTTGTTTAAATGTGATTTTGCAGCGTGTCTTCTCCAAGGTGACCTGTATAGTGTTCTTTATTACTGTAACTGAAACTGTGAAATGCAAGCTGGTCATGTTCTGTTGTAGATTAAGATTTTTACATCCTGCTGAAACAAGATTAAAGGTGCACAATGCTAAGACACCTTAGTGCTTTGAGCTTAATGCAAGGCAACATGCTCATTCATAGGGTTCTTCAACGCAACGATCAAGAATCAAAATATACAAAAATGCTTCATTCACAAAGAAAGGAAATACTTTGGATATTTGCTTGATATTTATTTTTGTTTATTACTATTAGATGTTTGCCAGAACGCCTAATTATCAGTTGAGTCCAAAATATATCTCAAAAATAAAAGCTGATCGAAAACATTTAAGATTGAGAGGACAGTGCGAACATCCTGATAATCAGTCGTCATGTTTCATGTTCACTATTTTAGTTTATCATATTAACCTTCTAAAATTGGCCTTAAACCCAAAGCACAGGAGGTTTATAGGATTATTCTAGTCAGTTATTGTACTGTACTGAATAAAACTTTGACATGATCATTGCACTAAATGCAAAGTAGAGGACCACAGTGATTACATTTTGTACCGAAAGGAGCAAGAATGTCTGCATCAAACTACATGACAGTCCACCCAATACTTGTTGAGGGATTTAACTTAATAGCACATGTCAAGTGTTTTACCTGACAATGATGCGACAGGAAAAATACTGTGTTTACCAAGGTTGTTGGGTTTCATCCTCTGCCATAGATATCTGGTACCCCAGTAATCAGTGTATTTTTTAAAGTGAACAAATGTCAGTCTCACTGCAACTCAAGAGGTAATTGTTCCACTAGGGACAATGAATGTCGATGAAATATCTAATGGCCTCAAAAAGTTAATGAGGAGTTTCAGTGGGCCTAAGTGGCTGTGACACTAGCCTGGCTAAAAATGCTTTCACTGGAGTTGGAGCTCTGCTTTGTCTGTTATCTGTAGCCAAACAGCATCACCTCTGATATTGTGTTTCTGTGAATGTTTAGCAGCTTCAGTAGCACTCCTAAAATCCTCAACTTTACACAATTTGCTCTCATGCCTTTTTACTGAAAACATCCAAAATATCAGGCTTGCTTTTCAATTAAAGTTACAATGTGTAGAATGTAGTGATATTTAATGTTGAAATTGCATGTTGCAGCTGAACACCCCTCACCTCACCCTCTCCTTCCAAACATGAAAAAGAAACTGTGGTAGCCTTTAATTGTCATAAAACTCAAAAGGTGTTTAGTTTGTCCAGTCTGGACTAATGTAAAAAACATGGCGGCCTCCGTAGAGAGGGTCCCCTTGATGTAAATATAAAGTATTTAAATATAAAGGGCCTTTTCTGGGGTAAAGAAAACTACAATTCATACAATTTAGATGAAACGAACTAGTGAAAACATCATGAGGATTATTCTACATTAAATTTCTGCCAATAGTTCCCTTTCACCTAAATCTTACACACTGGACCTTTAATGCATTTGCCTCAAGATCTACATATTTTGAGTGTGACTCTAAAAAAAACATGTCTCATGTGAATTATTATCTTTGTTTTCTTAATATTGTTTCAACTACATTCCTTTTAGAGGTTCTTTATACGTTCCTTTTTTTTCTGAACGCTGTAATTTTGCACAGAATTATTATGCACTAATACTCAGGTGGACTGTCAGGTTGACTGTCCTACTGTAAAAACTGCACTGTTATTATGCTGTTACACTTTACTTATGTTTATTCTCTTTCACTGTGTTTTTATAAAAATAATTACATTTAGATTTTGACTTCTCGATTCTTGTTATGATTTCTAAAAGTCAGATAAATGCTGCTGTAACAAGAAGAGCTGCTAAAACAATTTTCACTGTTTTAATATTGGTGACAATGTTGAACATTGACATTGAAGGATTCTGATTCTGATTCTGAGGTGCTTGAGTGCAGTCAAAACTGATTGCCTTCTATTAAGATAATATAAGATCATCTTTTATTCGTCCTGCACTGGGGAAATTTTTAACATTACATCAGCAAGAGGGTGGTCAAATTAATTATTAATAATAAGAAGCATGCAATACGAATAAATGTGGGAGATATAAGAAATATAAACGGAATAAAAACAAATATATACAATTGTAAACAGAATATGTACTGTGTGAACATATGTACAGTGAAATGGATTGCACATTAGCCATTGAGTGTCACAGACAGAAATGTATATTGCACAGTTAAAAAGTGAAAAACCTGAGATAAAGTGCAGAAGTCCATAGAAGGTGCTTGTGGTCTACTGGGAGCAGAGCTGATGGTACAGTCTTACTGCTGCAGGAAGAAAGGACCTTGAATCAGTCTGTCGCTGAAGGAGCTGCCCGGTGCTGTGATGGTGTCCTGCAGGGGGTGGGACTGGTCGTCCATCAGAGAAGACAGCTTCGCCATCATCCTCCTCTGTCCCACCACCTGCACTGGGTCAAGCGGGTATCTCAGGAGCAAACTGGCCCTCCATATCAATTTTTCCAATCTCTTCCTGTCAGCAGTGGAAATGGATGATAGTCCAAAGAAAATGGCCGATGCCAACACAGAGTATAAGTAATCAACACCTCTCTCCCTTTCGCTTCATTCCACTCTTGTTTTAAATATGCAGCAGTGCAGGGCCCTCTAGAGGATACCTAATTATATATTTCTTGCTCAAGGCAATCAAAACCTGACTAAAATCTTTAAGCTGCCTTTTTCACCCGGAAGACAGATTTTTCTAGGTGATGCCATTTGTGCGTGGCCACATCTCTGAGAAACTGCTGAAAAATGCTGCAGTGAAGTCTCTTATCATTTCTGCCTCACTGATCAATTTACTGCTTTGATTTATCGAAAGCTTTAAATCAAGACATTGAGAAACACCTAAAAAAACTTCCTGTATTAAAATAAAAAGGATATTTGGCACACCCAGTTCCATTAACCTTCAGGTGCTGACTTGCCAAAACTGAGCTTGCCAGAAATCTGGGTGTTTGAGTAAGATTTCAATTTTTATCGGCAGTGCTGTCAGAGCTAGTGTTGAATCAGAGGGTCCAGCAAAGTACAGTTCTATAGACGTGCTAGGAGCTGTAGCATGTCAGTGTTTTAAGCTGAGTGCTAATGACTCTGCTCACATGTTAATGTGAAGTAAGTTTCATGCTTTCCATGGTCATCATCGTGGTGTTAGCATGCAAACATTTGCTCAAAACACAGTTCGAAGGAATTTAGTTATAAATGAAAGTATTGGATGGACTATTGACCTAATGGAGATAAAGAGGTCAGGCGTTTCAAACTAGGGAACTTAATGTGTGAACCAAACATGACATCTATCCAATCCAGTTGTTGAGATGTAATGTAGACCACATAAGGCAACCTCCTGGAAGTGCTGGAAGGAAAGTCAATGGATCGCCACAATCATTGAAATTCACCTAATCTCATATTGACTACATTTGGTTTGCATTCCTGGAAACATTTCACAGCTTTTTAACAAGTTAAAAGATCTGCTTCTAATCTGTAAGGGACCAAATCTATAGAGCTTGCTGTTTAGGAAGTCAAAATGAAATTATTGTGTCAGCTCTCAACATTTTTTGCAATTCTATTCTTACTTCATTCATGCGGAGGCTTCCTCAATCCAAATCGTGTCTGTCTTTACTGAGTCTAAAGAAATTGAAGGCAGTGTAAAAGATGGGATGTTTGTTAGTACAGTTTTTATTATTGATTGCCCCATCTGAACACTAAGACAAACGGTCACTGTTAAAACAAAGTGAATCAGTCTATTAAGAAAAAGAAGGAGCAGATAAATCAAGAAACATGGTTTGCTAAAGATATGCAAGGGGAAAAAAAATGCAAATTGTACATGCTGTAAAATTGTGTATGGCACATTATCGACTCAACATATTACAATCTTAGAATAATGAGCATTTTTGGAAGCATATTTTAAAAGCAAATAACCAAAACAGATCTACTTTAAGACACAAATGTCCTAATAATACTGACAGCAAAGTTGTGTTGCTGTGGGAGGACAATAAACCAGTGCAAATCCATTTACTGGTCAACCATAGTAATTTATATAGACACTCTATAATAAGAGATCTGCTTTTTAAGGACAGATTGTGTTAAAATTGTATGAACAGACCATCTGTTTTTTTCCCCCACATGCTTAAATTAGTCAGAACCTTTTTTAATGTCACCAGATCTGTTCACATTCCGTACACATAATTAGATTTATTCTAAAAGGCAATCCACAGGTTCAAAGGCCAATCGAGGTTGTTGTGTAACACAGGCTGTGAAGAAACAAATAACTTGCTTTCATTAATATCATTTAAATTAAATTGCAAGCATCCTGGTGGGCACCTCAGCCAATTTTAGCACCATAAATTAACACAGACCCTTTGTTAGCAGAAGGCATAGAACACATGAATAATTCATTCTGCAGAAAATAATTTATGTCGTCTAAAAATATTAAACTCACATTACGCTTACGGTTGATCAAGGCAATACATCAGAACTTCAATTGCAATGGCTCATTACAGCGGCAACAATCACTCTTGGGTTGATCGACACACAAATATTCAGGCTAACGTTTATCTCACAGATCTGCATGCTTTAAAGTAACATTGATACAACAACAACAAAAAAACCAATATAACAAAACATCGGTTTTCATTAACCGTCCAATAAATAAAGTGCACGTGAAAAATAAGAGTCACAAGGTCATGAGTACGTCTCGCTCCTGCATGCTGGTGTAGAATGGCTTCCCAAACACAAACGAGTGCAGTCCCGCCCTGAGCTTCTCAGCGAAGGCCATTACAATGCTCAGGTCTCCCTCCACCGTCAGATCCAGGTCGGTCTTTAAATTGCGCAAGGATCTAAATGGCTTCTTCCCTTTTTGCCTGGGGAGGAAGGTGAGGAAATATTTATACTGTGGTGTAAGCGTTAACAACCTACAATACTCAGGGTCAGAAGATTTGCATTGGTTTGCAGCTGTGCACAGGAATGCCGTGCCACGATGAATTATGTATGCTGCTACAGCATGCGGGTGAGCATAAACCATCTTGTCAAGACACCTGGAAAATTGCACGATAACACTATAAACCAGAGCGCTTATATGTTTTCACCCGAGATAATAATTGTGTGGTTAGTGTTTACAGTGAGACATTTTCATGTTTCTCTGTACATATGGAAACATCTCATTTGGAACCATTTAAATCATTTTAAAGAAGGAAAAAAATCAATCTAATCGGTAATGCTTTGAGGCCACGTTTAGTTTAACAAAATTTGTGATTTCTGTATAATTATATATTAATAAATCCAAAACATTACAAAGGATCACTCTGATGTGTTGGTTCTAAGGTGCAACCGTGTTGCACTGGTTCTCCATTTTCTTTTTCCCTCATGAATTTTTACTTCAGATAAATCTCTCTTTAAAACTGTGCTTCGACTCTTGAGGCTCAACCACCGTTCTTGAGCCTTCCTTAAAAGTTTTGAGCTTCATATCCACTGACCCTAGAAATTTGAATGTCTTAAATGTAGCAAGATGTAAAGAGAAATTTGGAGCAATGAATGTGCAGTTTTGAAGGTACAGGAAAAAAAAATTCTTTCTTGATTGTGTGTGTTTGTTGTCTAAGCATTTTGCTTGCACATATTTTTGCAAGCCAAACACATTGTTTCTATATAACTAATTAAGTACTGTGCAGAAATTAATTTAGAGTGCATTTAAAGTGTAAAATAATTTTTGGTTTGGTTTTCTTAGAGCCAGGGTGTTAGGACACTGACAAATGAGCACTAACATATAAATAAGGTAATATTTTTCTAAAGTTAGAGTAAGTAAAACAATAGTCTGAAACTTTATCACTGATAATAAGTAATTTAAGCCTGGGTCAGGAGGTTACAGATAGTCAGGACAAATGAGCACCAACAAATAAACAAGGTAATATTTTTCTAAAGTTAGAGTAAGTAAAACAATAGTCTGAAACTTTATCACTGATAATAAGTAATTTAAGCCTGGGTCAGGAGGTTACAGATAGTCAGGTCTGACTAAATACTACTGTACCATAAAGAAACACTTGCTGAAAGATTTAAAACATCTTCCGCACTCAGTAGCAAAGCAAGATGTGTAAAACTAGATTAAATATGTGACTGCTGTCCTAAAAGGAGCAGGAAGGTCATTCCACTGACGGCGAGTACACAAGGATGCGTCAAGCCCAGATGGAGCCTTGACCAAGTCACCACAGGGAGGATGACATGAAAAAATGCAGACTTGACGGACTGCAAAGTCTCAGATGAGTTTTCTGGAATAAAGAAGGTGCTTCTGGAGCACAGCCAGAAGGTGGTTACTGTAACCGTGATGGGGCCAGAGCGTGACTTGAGACACAATTATTCCTCTTTCTTTTAGGTACTGAACGGGGTCTCCGGAGAGCAGGGGAAGTCGATGGAGTTAGTCGAGTGTAAAGCTAAAGTAACAGTTTTTAACTCGTTTTATCGCTGAGGGAATGTTCTGGTAACTGCCTAAATGAACGGTGAATTAATGTACGATGTGGTGTGAGGACAGGTCACCTTACAACCTGGCATAGTCTCCATTTGTTAGCCTGGGGGGAGGGGGCAGAGAAATGAGAATTTCTTGTCAGTGATTAAAATGATGATCATAAAAACATAATTTGGTGTTTTGTTGATGATGGCTGGCTCCACTCCAGAGTCTCTCAGGGTTGTGTGGCTGGGAAGCGATGGCATGTCCTTTGCATCATTATGACTCAACACAATATTCTCTTCATTCGGCTCATAAAAGGGGAAGCAGTCGGTGCTGAGGATTCATCGTCCTGTGTTGCTAGACAACCGGCCACTTCTTTCTGTTTCTTCCCAACATGAATTATTTGGCCTGAGTCCAACAAACCAGTGCTGCTCTGTGATGTACGACTCAGCTGTTTACTTTTTATTTATTGTCTATAAAATTACAGAAATTGCCAGTCGTAGGTTACCACACCTCAAAGTAACGTCCTTCCACTACTCCAGTAACAAATCTATTCAATTTAAAATAATATGAAACAGAAATGTAGCATATGCTAATATTGGAATTGCAGCCAGTATTTGAAATATGTAATTAATGATTTGATTTTAATTTGATTTCATTTGATTTTATCTGTAACACCTGCAACTGCAGGGGGCAGCTCAAGTCAGGCCAATAAACCAAGTATTGTCACACCATGCAGAATCCTCTCATGTGCACCGTGTCCCATAAACAGAGAGGCCTGGTGTTCTGCTGAGTTCTGCCTGCCTACAGGACCGATGCCCATTTAGCTGGTGCTAAACTCAAGGACAGACTTTGTATTCTCTTCTCTACATATATATACATCATTTGGATCGTCGCTTTTGAAGGACAAAACTTGAAGCAGGGGAATACAAAAATTATTCATATGACTTGGGTGAAAGGGATCCATTGGCAGAAATTGATAATAAATAAAACCAATGTTTTCACTAGTGTGTTTCATCCAAATTTTGTTTCTTTACCCCAGAATGGACCCTTTATATTTAAAAACTTTAGATTTACATGGAGGGGGTCCTCTCTATGGCGGCCGCCATTGTTTTGCTTTTTTTTACAGTTGTCCAAACTGGATAAACTAAAACCTTTTGAGTTTTCATCACGGCTACCACAGGTTTTTTTTTAATGTTTGGGAGGGTGAGGTGCGGGGTATTCAGCTGCAACATGCAAATTCACCACTAAATTCCACAAACTGAACCTTTAATAGGTTAGATGTGTTTGGTGAGCTGTTAAAGGAGGGATGCATTCCCCAGTTCTCTACTGCAGGTGAGAAGCACTGCTGAGAAAGATTCACTGAGAAAGATTCACACAGAGTATATAAACTTCCCCCCTGGTAAGAATTATTATAACTAAGTGCATTTATGTGAGCTTATATTCACTATGGACATAATGGACAGAAAGTGCAAGTCACACTGAATTTGAACCTCAAATATCTTCACTTGTCTTATATTTGTCTATGCAAATTGAGATATATATGCAAATACATAGCAAATGATTCTTGATATTTCTTGTGCTACACATCACGACTCGCTGAGCGATGACTCATCTGATCACACGAGTTACCTCTGCTGCTCAGCAGACAGGTGCCTGTGTTCTTTGCACTTCCCCTGAATGGTAACCTGACCACGTGTTCCTTCTCCTCTGTATCATCAAGTGTCTGTTTTACACCTCCGGTGAACTAAATCACCACTTCACCGTGTTCACATGCATTTCAAAGCAATACACAGCTATTGCAGGTAAGTGACAACCCTCTCTACACTCTACGCTCTGAGAGTGTGTTCCTCTCCTCCATTTACCTCATGGTGTTTGAGATCTGGCTCAGCTGGGTCCTCACCCAGGACTAACAGCTGTTCCACAGCTGGAGTCAGTGTTGTCTGGTCCCTTTCACCATGTTCTTAGTCATTTGTGACTAGGGGGTTGCCATATCCTCACCCCTGTACAGCAAAACCTCAGGGATAAGTGAACAGATGCAAAAAACCGCTGACCTGCCTATTTTGACTCTAAGCTGCAGAACAGTACATGTGTTACATCAGGCTGCAGATGACAGGGCTTAAAGTTATTTCTGGCTGTGTGTCCTGTGGGGGGCCAGCGTTGATCAGTGAGGATGTTGCTGTCTAACAAGGACCATGGCCACAGTGCATTGTAGTAAAAACAGAGACAGAAAGCAAGTGAACTATAAGTTCTGGTACTTGTGATTGTTTTTGTTTCTTATTGTTGCAGCCTGTGTGAGTGCAGTGTCTACAGCCACATGTTAATCACATTCGTCAGTTGAATTGTAGTTGTATTAGTGAGAGCTCTTACGTTTCGTCCTCAATGTACTTGAGCAGCGTGAGGGCTTTCCTGTGGAGCAGCAGCAGGAACTGGGCCAGATAGGTGCTCCGCAGGGACAGGCCCGGCTTCAGCATGAACACCTGGGTGCAACACAGGATGTCAATTAGACGTCCGAGCTACAACTCAGCTAGAAAAGATTAGAATATTCCGCACGCCCCTTTTCCTTCTTTGTGCTAACCTTGAGAAAAAAAACATATTGCTGTTGTCATGAAAAAAAAACATGTAAGCGCAACTCTGGGGGCACTTTCATGGGAACAGATGACGGGTTGCGACCCTTGGGAATCAATTCGTATGTTTTGAACCTATGGGCCCTAGAGATTACGTCGGTGTTACGGAGGCTCATGTTTCAAGTACGAGCTGCAGCCAGAACAAAACTTTTAGGCAATTTCAAACAATAGACTGAAGTAAATACACTAGTTCTTACATGTATAACATTTATATACCTGTATACAATAAGTAGACTAGAATTACTGCACTGCGGTTGTATGCCTCCGCTAACCAGTGCAGTTTCCAGTTTACTTTATCACATTATCACAGTGACGTTTTATAAGTCTGGAAAAACAATAAATAGAAATATGTCCATGAAAGCTGCACTGGTTGGCGGAGGCATACAACCGCAGTGTGGTAATTCTACTTTCCTCTTGACTTGATTAAAATGACTTATTTCCCCTTTTTAGAGGGACAATAAAAAAGCATATGAAAAATGTTGCTGTAGACTTACCTCGTCTATAAATGACTTCACCAAAGTGTCATTATGCATTACGTCCTGAAATATATTCCTGGAGATAAAGACAAAGAAGTGACGATGTTTAATTTGAGCGGGAGAAAAGTACACATCGCGTAAAAAAGTGCAAATAAAATAGCATACGATGCAAGGGATGTGTTTATGTCTTACAGGTCAGGTGTGAAGGTTTCATCCGTGTGAATGACTGTGTCTGGGGGTATGTCCTCCTCGCTGTCCGTCTTCCAGAGCGTGCTCAGCTCTGACCGCATGTATCGTCGCTGGTTGTACATGTGCTCGTGGCACGGTGGCATCTGCTTCACAGTGTTGATGTCGACGTCGATGTGAGTGGTTGGGTACGGTGAGTAAAGCACTTGGCGGAAGGGCAGGACAAAGCTGCCTGTGGAGTCCTGGGAATTCAAAAAAAAAAACAGTTATGAAACCTGTATCGACAACCTGCCAACTCTGGACTAATCTTACAACCTGCTATGATTCTTTTTTAATGTGATGTGTGACAACATGTTATTATTATTCATATCTGGCCCAAATTTAAAGAGCACAGGGCACATTTATAAAAGAGGAAACAACAACAATAGAGAGAAAAGCAAAAAGGAAGCAGACGCATATAGAAATGCAATAAACCATGGGTGAATATCAGAGCAGCTATTCAAAAACATTCTTTATCTATGTCACATATGTGCGAAGAAGCTTTAATAAATAATTTCACATTCTGCAAGCAGCAAGATTCCAATATCCTGACTAATCCTGTTGTTTCTCCCCGGGCTGGTTTGTCTTGTTTCTCACTGTATTTTACATAAAATTGTAAAATAAGATCCGCAACACAGCCAGCATGTACTATGCCGACTGATATGATGGAACAAACAAACTCTACCAAGCTTTGTGCTGAATGTTTTCGTGTTCTCATTCCTGCTGACTTCCTATATAGCAGTATTCCCAAGTGGCAACCCTATAGTTATACCCCACCTGCCTCACAGAACAGGGTTAATAGAGTGTCAACTTTTCTAAAACCACAAACTTACTGAACTAGAACAAACCAAGAAATAAACTACACGTGCTATTATCTTACTTTGCATATTGCAGTTGCCCGAGTAAAACTAAAAACCTTATGGAGGCCACGTTAAAAAAAGCTCCATGAGTTAAGACAGATCTGAATCTTGTGCAGTGTTGTAATAAAAATATCTTACTGCAACTATTGACTACTAAAAAAAGCAAACAAATCAGAAGATGGACTGGGCGAGATAACACAAGCAGACAAAAGAAAGCACCAGGCTCTAATTCAAACCACATCATACTAATGAGAGGGAACTGGTGACTACCTTGAGCAGACCCTGTACAAACAGGCCCGTGTCATATTTAAAGGATGAATCCGCCCTGCAGAGGCGAGAGCACTTCCTCTCGGCTGGGGTGAGGAAGACACAGAGAGTTCGCACAATCTGCAAGACAACACAGAGGCACCTTCAGAAAAATCCTGGTTTTGATTATTAACACAATAGAGGAAAACAGGTTTGGACATTTCAGAACAATACAGAAATGAAACTGTGACACAATAAGGGTTATGTAAGGTTATGCAATCATTTTCCAAATATGGGCAGAAAATAAAACAAAGGTGAAGGCGAAAATCAGAACAGAAATGACCAAAGACCTTAATCTGGCTTGAGGCTACCTGGTAGATACAAATAAAGAACGTGGTTTAATTAGTGCTCAGTTCAGGCCTCAAGCCAAATAAACTACAGTTAAGACTGTGCAGGCCTTTGCTATTCATTGGGGAAACGAATGGTGATACTGTAGCTACTAATGAAACTGTTAATGGTTTCAACTTGTTTTGTTTTTAAATTTGACAAATGGCTTCTTTACATATGGTTGTATTGTTCTTACATGCACATACTTTGTTTATCATGGTTGTGTTTGGTGCCATATGATTTTTTATTTGAACATTTTCAGCACATTTACAATACCATGATACCATGATGATATTCTTGTTCACTATAATCGTGACACAACATTTCACCTTTAACTCTACATACCTTCTACTGACGCCTGCTGAGAACACTATATAGTGTGCATTATTAACTTTCCTTCTCATTTATTGTGCCCAACTTGTCTTGTTTTAATTCAGACATCCTCCCTTTAAACATTTCCGTTGCAGCAGTAACTGTGTTTCAAATGCTGAGGTTTTTCTGTGTGCAGCACTTAGCCAGCGAACTTACCTTATTTACTTTCTCTGGGTTGCTTCCAACTACTATTGAACAGCCGCAAGTCTGCAGATGAGAGCTGATGGCCCTGAACCAAAGAGACCAAAACATGCAAATTAGAATCAATTCGCTTCATTAGTGCTACTCTAATTCTTAATGGCAGCTTTTAAACCTTTACAAGGAAGAATTAAGAAAGCAACTGGCTCTGGGTTCGAGTTACTTTAATAATTGTGTTTAACAAAGTTTACATATTTACTTAAATAGTTTGGTTGAGATCTGGTCTTTTGACCATATTTCAAGGAAATAAATGGTTTGATTGGTCTGAAAAAGAACTCAAGTTCAGCTTGAATGAAGTTTTTTCCAACTAAATATCTTAATAAATCAGAAACAAATACGTTTTAGATGCAGGTAAATAAGTTCCAGTTTCCAGATACTTTATCATGTCCACAGGAGGTAGAACCAATCCTGTGCAGCTCGGAGCAATCGGGGGAGTGTCATAATCAGAATGGCCTCTCAACACTTTACTGCTATTTAGCTTTCATTCTTTCTCTGGAAGAAATTTTGGTAAAGGGGAGGGCCCTTCCTCATCATGGGTAGGTTGATGGGTGTTAAATGGGCACCGTTCATCATCTGTATCCATTTGCCTGTATGGGAGTGCTTACTTGTGGAGGAAATCCTCGTGGCAGCTGTCCCCGATGTCATCATCATTTAGCACCGTGTCTTTTATCTGCTCAGCAGGAGCAAAAAACAAACGTGTCAATTTTGACAATGAAAATCGCTCTCAACAAAAACAAAAGTGCTGACGGGCACATTTGCAGGATCATGAAAACAAGAAACACCAAAACAACAGTGGGGGAATGATTGTGGGAAGTTTCTTTGAGCTACTATTTTTTGTCACAGTACAGGAGCAAATGTGTGGAACCACACTGGGTGGTAATCTTGGCAGAGAACCTGGATATTTCAAGGCTCTTGGAAGTAGAGGCCATTTACACAAGTGTAAGAATGAAACTGGAAATTTGCCAAAATTAGAGACAAAAGGTCTTCTTCAGAATTTCATTCGTGTTTCAACATGCGACTCAGCTCCTTTCAGTTCCTGCCACCATGATGTTGACATCATAACCTGTTAAGTCCCCCTTCACTTTAAAACATTTAGGCGGCAAGATTTATAAAGGCCTTCAGATGAAATAATCAATGTTAAAAATATGAGCCATCCTTAATTTATTTCACATCCATTACTCTGGTGTGTGTGTGTGTGTGTGTGTGTATGTGTGTGTGTGCGTGTGTGCACGTGTGTGTGCGTGTGTGTGCGCTTGTGTGTTGCTCACATCTATATGCTCTGGCGCGCTGTGTGACTTCATAGAGGCCAACAACTCCATGATAGGGACAATCTCCATGCTCAACACAGAGATGATGTTGTAGCCCTGAAGATGAAGGAGAGATGAAAACAGTAAACGTTAACTCTGCACAAATACTGAAGTTGCAGTGGAGTGAGAACACAGCTTATGAAATCCAAAATAATAAAACGAGTCATAACTAATTTGTGTACCTGCTCAGCACTGTGCTTGAAATTTGGATGCATCATTCTCAAAATAAGGAAAAAGACAACAACAGATAAAGGGGTATTTTTGGAATTAACTTTGCATTTTTGATATGCATGGGGTGGACAAAATAAAAAACATTATAAATAGAGCAGCCTGGTCGATTTCACACAGTGTGTCCTCCAAAGAGCAATGATCACTGTAAAATATCACACTGTATATTAATTGGTAATAATTAAGAAAAAAAGGAGCTTCATATCTTCATGATGCATTTATGTGAGCAGAAATAAATACATAAATTGAATTTAGATTGTACTTCAGCTCTTATGTAAATGATTAATTATCATTACGACTTCAAACACACCGAAAAATCAGGGTTGGATAAATGTCAATACATTATATGAATGATGTTACACTTAAACTAGTACCAAAATAATTAATACCGGTGTTTATTAAAGAGAAGTCCAGTTTCTCAGCCATTAAAACAAGCAGCAGTACAAGAACTGACTTGTTGTGTCAGTTTAGTGACTGTACCAAAAAAGCGTACAGCTCTAAAGCCAGTGAGCCACGTTTGCTTGCTATGTGAGCCCTGGAAACCAAAACTGTGATTTATATAGTTTCTCAACGCGACACAACAAAACTAACAGAGCAGTAAACAGGCCAAAGTGTAGGTGCATCAGGCAAAAAAAAAAAAAAACCTGCTGCAATATTTATATCAGGAGGAGCAGTCTGACAAGAGGGACGCAGTAAAACTAACAATAGTGATAAACATGCACAACACAGGAGATTGATAAATAGGCCTATACAGCAGTATCTGCGGTGGTGATATATTTTGAAGCGTAGTGTCTCAGGATGGTTTGTCTGCCCTTATTATTACCTACTCACTTGCTGTCTCTGCAGGAGCTCTCAGACCTAATTAGCTAACCTACTCCTTTGTGTTGGGAGACAGCAACTTTATTATTCTGCCAATGTTGTTGCTGTCCCAAACGGATGAAACAGCTGATAGATTTCTTAATACCCATATAAAATAAGGACGAAAGGTTGGATAATGATTTAAAGTAAATTTGACAAGCACAAAGGGTAAATCTTTGTTAACTATTGTGTGAATATTAATGTCGAGGAGTGAGAGGTTAAAGGACCAGCGTTACCTTCTGCATCCAAATGCGGCCCTTGCGGATGACGTGTTTTAGTCTCTCCACGCAGATGGTGTGCAGGGGCAGGTAGAAGGCCAGCTCTGTCTGCGGCAGGATAATGGACAAGGCACATGTGTTCTTGTCCCCCTTCAGCTCCCCGTCAAAGATGAGGGACACAATGATGACGCCCTTTTCTGCCAGGACGAAGAACTTCACATCCACGGCGCCACACTCGGCACTGCGGAGAATCTCCCCGTTAAGGGTGTGATTGGCCAGGAAGGTGACCTCTCCATCGCTGAGGAACATCAGCTGGTCGCCCTTCGGTGACCAGATGTGTCGCACACGGGGACCCAGGATGTTGTCCCAGTAGGCGAAGGTGGCCGCCAGCAATGGACATTCTCCCTCTACTGCGACTTCAGACTTTGCCACAGCAGGTGACTGGGGTGGACAGCCGGAAGACATTGGAGTGGTTTGAAGACGTCGCTCTCTAAGTCCTGATGAAGTTCAACCTATGGCAACACAAGGAACAACAGTTGTATTTCTGGTATTTAGTTTAGATTGTGGGCAAACAGTCTGATGATCAGAACTAAACGCTTTCAAGCTTTATAAAATCACGTAGAACATCTAATCATACTTCTCTGTAAAAATAAAAGTGATTTGTTTTGCTACTGTAAGACCCACAACTTCTCTTGTCTCCAACAATGTCCAGAGCATGGATAAATGAATGCAAGCTTTCTCTAAGGTTAGACCAATCTCTGTGCAAAGAAACTGCATTTTTAAATTGATTCAAATTTCTACAATTTAAACAAAAAAGAAAGATACTCAACAAATATCCTATGCTAACCAGTCAGGTGTTCTTTTGAATTCGGCACATTTAACTAAAACATTAGCATTTTCTTACTGTAAGATATTTCAATTAATTGTTTACTTTTCTATCCATGTCCTTGATTGATAGTAGAGAGTTTTACCAGAATACTCGAGAGATCAAACTCCTGTGTGACTGAACATGTGTTTGATGAGTTGTCAGGTTCATTAGTGATCAAATATCTGTAGCTTGTCTGTCACCAGGTAGCTACGTTTGTCCACAGCGAGCGATGCAGCTCTGTTTCAACACTTTACGAGTGTTTTATTACATGTCACCACAGATGAGACAACGCGTGATCAGGCGATCGCCCCACACTTACTTTGTGAAGCAACAATTCAGGCTGTTTGACCAATTCTGTTGCAGTGCTAACTCAGGGCTAGCTCGCTAACTAGCATTAGCAGAGCAGTGACAGAGGATTTAGATCGCTTTCTCTTACTTTGTTCGTTTTCTTCAGCTCCACGCGAAGATCTTCAAAGTGTCACTGCGCGATCATTATTTCATTTCTGCGACTTCCACGGCACGTGACACTTGAATGCTCATTAACCCACCGTGCACTCTGTTGTCTTCCAAACACTTCCGCGAACGTCACTCCAACGCAGGCGCACGTCAGCAGCTGACAAGGCCGCACAGCGCCCTCTGGCGAACGAGACGGGGAAATGACCAGTGAGTCAATGATGTCATTTTTTTTTTTTTTTATTCCGGGCGCCCACCTGCAGAAACACGAGTTATTTTAATTCCTTCACACGGAGCCTGCACGTTTCAGCGGTGTTATCTGCGGACAGAAGCCTTTACACATCACATTTCTCAGGCTTCTGTAGTAACAGCACCGTACTTTCGTCCTGGGAACCTCATACTGCTGTCTCTATTTTATTCCCCCCCCTAAATCACACGTCTGTAAATTGCAATCACGACAGCATCATGGCTGCAGATCTCTATAACATTAAGAGTCAACAGATATGCTCATGTGATTGCGCTTCTTCCTTCAGCAGATACCTGACTTTGTCTAATGTGTGAGAATATCAAACACCCTTCAGGCTCGGGATTAGTGGATCATTTGCAGTTGTCAGGAGAGCAACTCCTCAAACAGGAACAATCGAGAATCAATACAAGCACCAAACTTTCACACCTAGTCTCAGCTCTGTGTTTTCAACTACATATTGTACACACACCTAATTTGCAGTGTTGGACCCACTGGCCTCAGCAGGACGCTAATGAGACGACCGACGCTGTGGGCTCTAAAAGGCGCGTCAGCAATTAAGAGGCTGAACTGCTTCTGCAAACAGTGACTCTTAATTTTATAACACAATTACACGTTGCCGGTGAAAAATGTGCACTCAGCTGTGCTGCCATCTCCGCTTGTCGTTTCTATACTTTGTCCTGCAGCTGGTGTCTCATCAGTCCATCTTTGGCTGCTGTTTTCAATTTCTTCTGAGGCCCCTTGTGGCCTGTGGCAATCCAGGACTGCAATTCTCACTGAGTAAACTATAATGGGGGGCACAAATACCATGCAGCTGTTCTCCACAGGCTCTGCAGCCTCTTCCTTTTTCCTTTTCAGCTTAATTCCAATCATAAACCTCCTCTAGATTAAAATAACATGTACTCTTTTACACTCTATTTCTTGCACACATAAACTTCACCAGATTAAATATGTTAATCAGTGAACTTTAGAATCAATCAGTCAATCAGGCTTCATTTATCCAACCCTTTCCATACACCCCCATGCACACACACACACACAATATTGAATAAAGAACAAAAAATATCAAAACATTAGACACATTTTCTTCTAATAATAGCAAAATATAGAATGAATGAATTAAAAAATGTATCAAAGGGAGTACAATCTAAAATAAAATGTTATGTATTAAAAGGAAAAGAATCTGGAAATAATAAAATAAGTTAAAATTCAAAGGATACACCAAAAAGTCCAACAGGCTCACTTATATAAATGAGTCGAAGTGCTAGTGGTCAGATTTTGTCACCTTGAACAGAACTGGTCCAGTCTTGGTGTGTCTCTAGCTTTAAATGTCATGGGAAAACAGAACTCGTCAAACAGGGCTAATTTTATATCCGGACAGGAGCAGTTATAATGTTGCTGTCTCTGAGTATACATGACAATATATAAAACATTCTCTCACACCTCTCTCCTTCCATGCTATCCTATTGCTGACATTATTTATTCTCATCTTGAGTAGCTCTGCTTCCTTTCCTGGGGCCTGTCAGAGTTGCTGCTTCTGAACCACATGAACAACAAGCCGAGCTGAATTCTTTCGTGCGTGTGTTTGTTCTATGAGCTCAGCAGCAGCAAACCTCGACTGTGGACGGTCAGCACGAGCCAGTGCGCTGAAAGAAGTTAGCTGAAGTTTTCAAGGTCACCGACTGTCAACAGTCATTCACAACAAACTGTGTAGCTGCTGGCCACCGCGCTGATGTGACTGCACTGTGAGAACAGCCTTGATGCTGCAGCAGAGGTGAGGGGCTGACTTCACTGGAGTCGAACCACCCTCTGAATTTTACAAAGACAAAACAGTCATCATCTGCAAAATATTCCAGGAGAACATTTGTCGAGATATTTAAATATTAATCCAACACGTTATTTTGATGATTTTTCAGTTTTTGCGGATTGTCTATTCGTGGAACCACCTCTTACTTATGCATCTCCTTATCCCTGCACTGATGAAGACCGTGCAACGTAGAAATAGGTCTTTATTTTAAACAATTATAATACCACACTAAAGGGACGTCATTATACCTCGTGCCCTTGCTTTACATAAATGTGCCTGAAGATTTATTCCCCTCCTCTTACAATTCTTTTCATCTTCAAAGGCACCTTTAGGTTCCTAGATCACAATCCTTGAGAAACGCATCGAGCGCGGGGGTTTTTGTGTCCCCTTCTAATCCTCACACATGACATTTGGAAAAAAATTACCTTCATTATTTGGAATAAGGAAAAGATAACAATAAATTCCATTTGTTCTGTCTATTCGGGATTTATGCTTCCATATTAGCTCTTGCCGGCCACCCACTGTGTGTTGGAATAATGATGTAACATGATGATCTCATAGCAAAAATACATTACGTAGATTACATACTTCCAGCCACAGAGTACTTGAACAGACCACAACAAAGATACAATCAGATTCCAGACTAACCACCCACAGTCACAACAGGCTCCACTGATAAGCAGTTTAATGGCACTGTCACTGCCCTGTAATAGTGTTACTTGCGGCTTGCAGGTTTTCTTTGCACCAGGGCCAATGGGCTTGGACAATCATGTACGTCTCTACAATATCCTTGTGTCTTTAAGAACCAAGTCGGTGAAGAGGAAATACAGTAAAACCCCCTGAAAAGTACCTGTTCTTCTGTTACTCCTCAGAATTAAAACATAGACTGTAGAATGGACAACATAACACCCCCAAAGTGAAGCCAAAGCATCTTGATTGCCCCCTGGTGACGGGCAGCAGTATAGGTCATAAACTTCCTCCAGTTGGTTAATTGATGCTTTAGAAACTGGGTGAAACCTCATGATTGATTGATGACTGACATGCAATTGGTCGATCGCCTGTATCTGTGAGTGCTCGTTACTGCAGCTCCATCCCCCGGTTGTTATTGCACAGACTCTGTCTCCAAATGTGCAAGATGGCAGTGTTGGTGTCCAGGATATTTTGGCTTCATTTCTGGATCATAGGAAGACGCGGAGACTCGTCATCTATCTTTAGATACAGTCTCTCTATTCAAGTCACAAATTTTAATCTTGATCGTCATGTTAAACAAATGCAAAACAAGTAGGCTACAGATTTGTATGTGCCAACAGCTGTTGTGTTCAATACTGAAGATAGTTTCACTCCAAATGTGTTTTTGTTGTCATCCGGATTTATGGGTGGAGAAATTTGCCCAGAGTTAGATGAGATAAATCAATATCACTCTTTTATCTGTTGATAATATGAAGCTCACTAATTATATATATATATATATATTATAATTTTTTTTAATCCATGTCGCAATTTCATAAACCCATTCAAAAACAGCATAACAATTATTCTTTATTTAATTTTTTTAAATCTTTGTAGCTATAGTACAAAGATAGTGAAGCTATAGCTGTTTTTCCAGTTTTCTGTATTTATGTTAGGCTAAGCTAACTCCTGGCTGTAGCTACTGTCTAAACATCAACCTAATCTGATTCTCACAAGCAAAGGGAGTCCAGTGTTTCCAGAGACGTTAATAGGTTCTGCATTTTGATAGCTTGAGTAAACAATAGTATTTATTAGCATCAGCCAGTATTTCTTGCAGTAAAGATAAGTATTCTCAATATGTCACTAGATGATTACAGTGTATAATGTTTGTTTAAGAACCTCTAATGTGTTATTACAAGTAAATAAACTCTAATAAACATATTAGTTTGAAATAAAAAAGGTTTGCATTCCCCCACCTTCTCTTCTCAGCCTCTGATTTTGTCAGACATGTGCCTCTGCAAACGTAGACTCTGCTCGCTTTGACAGCACAGAGGCCACTTTTAAAATGTCCATGAGTTAGCTTTGGTCCCAGCTCATCACTCAGCATGGTGAGCAGGCGTTTTGTGCACTGTTGTCTTCAGTGGGTGGAAAATGTGTCTGTGCTGTCTCTTTTACCATGGCCTCCTTTTATGAGTGTGAAAAATTACTGGTCATTTATTTAACCTTGATTAGCCCTGCTCCACATTCGCCACTTTTTGGTCTGAATAACTTCTCACTTCATGAAGCTTTTTTTTTTTTTTTCACGGTTTCACACATTATTCGCCAGTGGCAAATTGTCTGACCTGCATGCTAATGACAGTAAGAAGCTTGTTTCAGCCTGCAGATCACTTTCTTGTTACACGGGCAGCATGACTCTCTCAATCGTTATGTCTGTCTCTTGGTCTGGATGTCTAGACTGAAATATCTCAACAACTCAAACTTTTGTTTGTACTGACATTCATGATCCCCTGAGGATAGAGTGATTTTGGTGTTCCCTTGACATTTCCTCCAGCACCACCATAAGGTTCTTGTTTTTGGTTTGGAGTAAAATATGGCAACACATATTGGATATATCTCCATGACATGTGATTGACTGATTTTCCTCGGGTGTACTTCACCAACACTGGTATTCATCAACCTGGTAAATACAGCATAATATTATACCTGCTAAACAGAAGCATGTACCTCATTTACACTGAAATTTACATTTTTTTAAACTAAGAAATGTGATTGACTCCTTTCCTTGTTTCCAACTGTGCTCAGAAAACTAAAGGACCCCTCGCTGTCTTTAGCCCGTTCACCTGAGTGTCATCACTGCCGATCGGAGCTTTAGCAGATAAAAACCAGTGTCTACTGCAGAGTCATTTGACCCGGGAGTGAATGCTGATTATATCTATTCCCATTGCAGTTAAAAGCCAGGTGTTATAGTGTTAGTGGGGGGCGGGGGGTTGACCAGTGGAAAAGGCAGCTTTAATATCTTCTACTTTAGCTTTAGTTTAAAATCATCTCTGTGCCTCATAAAGTTATAAACACGGTTGTGGACGTTGAGGGCAAAATGTTAAAATTGTAATTTTTCAAATGATTACAACAAGTGCCTTTTTTTTCTAAATCAGAAAAAAGGCACTCATGGTAATGATGTGATATCTCTTTAACTGGCACCCTGCTTCTTTCTTTTGACTTCAAGGCCTTGTCATAGTGTTTCAAATTCATTTTCATTAATCGTTTTAAATTGAAATAAATTACATCTCATTATTGTCAACTGTGCTTTAAGGTAATAATATTAATTGTATTGCCTTGATGAGGACATTCTGGTCTAGTCACTCAATAGCATCTCAGTAACTTATTTCAAATGAATCTGTAATGTGTTGGCACAGTAAACACCTTATGAATTGCTAATACAATTAATTGGGGATTTCAAGTACAAATGCCAAATTGGATGACTAAGCCGTGATCTCTACTTCGCTCTGAGGTTATTGAGTCTGTGTCTGTGTCTCTGTATCTTTGGCTCACTTCATTAGTGTCACCGTTTTTTGCTAAGGGAGATGTGATTGAGAGTAGTGGCAGGACATCATCTTTTTTCATCTGCCACTAGACAAGCAGGCGGGCTCCTGTTTCCGCCCAGGCCGCCGCAGCCTGATGCCCACCACCAGCATCCATTAGGATCGGTTTAACTTCAGTCAATTCCCTGCTAACCCACATGGCCACAAGAAATGGGGCAAAACCACCCTCGCAGCAGCCTCCGGGGCCTCGATGGATCTTAGCTTCCCTTATTCTGCCACCCAACTCTGCTCCCTTGGTGAAAAAAACCTGTTTCCTTACACCTGAAAATATCACATGCACTCACAGTAACACTAGACATGATGCTCATTGCAAATGGAGTGGCAAGAAGAAAAGAAAAACGCTACAAAAGAATCATATAAGGATCACAAAGATCCAAAGGACGTCACGCTCGTGGTCAGACTCAG